AAAGGTGCGGTGCCACGCCCGTTGGCGTGCGTTTTTTTTGGGGGGGAGAACGTGTCCCGTCAAGGAGGCTTGAGTGTAAACAGTGGAGAGCATTGCCACCGGCTCAACGTGCCCTTACGGACGCCCTTTGATGCCCACATCTTCCCACACAGGCGCATGCAAATCACTGTCAAGGCGGCTCCTGCGACGCACCATACGCGGCCCCAAATTGTTGATGCTAAAGCTCCCCGCCGCGCCGGCACCCACGGCGTTGATCGTCTCAGTCAGGTCCAGACCCGCCTTCTCGGCGTACATGAGCCCTTCGCAGACACCTGTGACGGGCCAAATGACGGGTTGTAGGGTGGAGTGAGGAGAAGGGAAGATAGGTAGGTGGAAGCACCTCCAGTAGACGCCGTGCAAGGACTCCCCAGCCACCCCCAAGACATGGCCAAAGGCGGACGGCCAATTTGCCCATTCTTTTCTCACCCATCATGGTATTGGCGATCAATATCTGGTTCACCATCTTGGTGTGCTGTCCTTTTCCCGGCCCGCCCATGTACCGCATGTTTTTGCCCATTAATGTCCACAACGGGTGCAGGCCGTCGACGACCTGTTTGTCCCCCCCCACCATAAATGACAAGGCGGCATTGCGGGCGCCTACGTCACCCCCGGAGACGGGTGCGTCCACGGTGGACACTCCTTGCGCCTGCCCTGTGGTGTATATCTCTTGGGCCAGGCTGGGTGTGCTTGTCGTGCAATCGACCAGGACACCGCCAGCTTTCAACCCTTTCAAAATGCCCTCCGTGCCCAAAACGACGTTTCGAACGTCTGAAGGGAACCCAACGATGACGAAGACAACGTCAGAGGCAGCAGCGACTGCGTGGGGGGAGCTTGCCACTACCGCACCCTTGGCTTGAACGGGAAGGCACTTACTCGGCGTCCGGTTATAGACTGTGCACTGGTACCCCGCATTGAGGAGATGGGTCACCATGGAACAGCCCATAATACCAACCCCAACCCAGCCGATGCGTGTGGTTGCGGGAGAAATGATAATTCCCGATGCCGGTATCATCTGTGACTTTTCGAGCGTGCCACCGGACTCTAAGGCAAGCTATGCACAAGCTTTCAATCACGCCCGGGCTGATTCCCTACACATCAATATTGAGGTACGTATCAATTTTTCGTGCTTTCTCGATGCGCGCGGCCAGAAATTGCATGCTCCAACTCTCTTCGTGATAAAAAAAGGCCCGGGACGGTGACCAAAGCTTCAGGGGAGGTTGACCACGACAGACGCGTGCTCATGTACAAAACCCGCACGAGAGGCATTTGACTAATTCTTTTGAGGCAGCGGAGTATGTGTAGGATTCGCTCTCAACAATAGGCCTGCGGAAACGAGGAGGACTGCGGGGGTGACCCCATGAAACGCTTAATTGCCCGTTTCTTTGAGACGACGCACGACCTAGCATGGGAGGAGGTTAATTTTCCAAGGGATCTTATATAATTTTCTCTTGGAGGAAATAGTTTTCACAGGTCCAATCTTATTTCGAAGGGGAAAGTGGATGCTGTGGCTGATATATCACACAGGTTACCTGAACTCGCTTTATTTCATCCGTAATGCATGAGCAGGTTCTGTTACCCATGGTGGCTAAAGACCAGGTCCAAGGTCCTAGCGAGCTGGTTGATGATGACGTAGCCATTTCTTTGAAATCCCTTTTCGACGATGATCGGCAAATACCCCCTCCATTTCCTTTGCGACCACTGGCTGCGCCACCCGGTTGCATTGTACCCTTGCATCAGGATGCACGTGATGCCCTCGGGGGACGGGTATGGAAAGCGTCCATTTTCTTGAAGCAATGGCTGGAACAAAAAGGCTTCCTGGAAAAATTGAGGGGGTTAGCAATACTTGATGTAGGAGCAGGGATCGGAGCACTGGGGTTGGCTTGTGCGCTGGCCCGCCCTTTTCCACCTGCCTTCGTGGCCGTGACGGACAAATCGTCGTTGCTCGCTTTACTGCGCCGCAATGTGGAAGTTGCCCGAGAAACAGCAGCTACAACGGGTGGACATGTGCCAATACATATTCTAGGGTCTCACAGAAAATATTCCGGGGGAAGGCAAGGAGGGATCAGCGGTCGAGAGGAAGAACGAGGAGAAGAAGAGGAGGAAGGTGGAGAAGGAGAAGGAGGAAGAGAAAGCGAGGGAGGCCAAGACAGGGGAAGAGAGGGATCCTGTCATCTTGTTGCTTGCCCTTTGGATTGGATGGAGCGAGGTCATGGATCTGAGTGCACCGCCCTTATCGAGCTCCTCCACGCCAAAACGGGGAAAAAACACTTTGATATGATCTTGGCGGCGGACTGCGTGTACTACCCTCACCTTTACCAGCCGTTAGTCGAGACTTTGGCGGCCATGGCGGGAGAAAACACGCGTGTGGTGATTGCAAACGACGAAGGGAGGACAGATGCGCGAGGAGTGGAGGCATTGGCGGGAAGGAGATGGGATGAGGGGTTTTTCGAGGTGTTCGCTCGCTGGTTTGTGTGGGGTGAGGAAGAAAGAGAGGGGGAAGAAAGAGGAGGAGAGGACAGGATGTATCCGGCAATGGAAGAGGGGGGAGGGGGGCCGTTTCGAGTGGTCGTGGCTAGGAAGAGAGAGGGGCGGGATGGAGTCGAATAGGGAGGGTGGGTAACAGATGGAGGAAGGGAGAGGGAGGAGGCCAGAGGGCGCAGCGGGACAGAGAGGGTTTGGGAGAGGAGAGGAGGGAGAAAAAGGAGCAGACAAAGAAAGGCGACTCAAGGGGGGAAAAAGCAAGAAACTACATCCGAAAGACCGGGACGGGCGAGAAAAGCAACCTGAAGGACGGTGACGTCAGACACAGGGGTCATTGCTCATGCCCACTCAGGGTACCGTGAGCTCTTCGAAGCCTTCGACACGACTCTCTTTTCTTCTTTTCCCCTCCATCCAGCAAGCACTCTATCCGCTCCACTACAATCGCCCCCTGCTCTCATCCTAAACCCCACGCATCCCTCTGCCCTTCCTCTACGTCGTCGGGACGCTTTGCCCGCCCTCCCCCCTTCCAAAGAATGCACATCATACCCGGAGGTTGCCGGAATTTCCATGGTCCATCAACCATTTGGACGCAGAAAAAGCTTCCTTCCAGGCCCGGTTCGATCACTTTGGGTGCTGGAAGATAGGGTCTCTGTAATTTAGGTGCCATGAAGTTGTTGAAGAAAGGATAAAAGAAAGGACAGAGCGAGGAATGAGAAGCTGAAACTGTCACTGTCCGCTCGCCTTTGTGTTGGTCTTTCGAAATGGATCAAAGGACCCATCACTGGCTGAGACAACGCCAGGGCCATTCGAGTGCACAGTAAGGAAGAGAGAGCATATGGAAGACGATTAAAAACAGGCATGACGCAGAAACGAGAACCCCTCTCCGATCGCACGTGCAGGCCCTTCTCTCCCTCCCATGGTATTGGCGATCAATATCTGGTTCACCATCTTGGTGTGCTGTCCTTTTCCCG